CAAAATTTGCGACTTATTTATAATCTTTATTAAGATGGGAAGAGTTTGACACATTTCAGCAAAACTTAATTAAACAAAACCTGGTAAACTCATCAGTTTAGAATTAATGCCTTTCATTACTTTCAAGGTGGTACAAATCATGAGAAACCAAACGGGTTTTGCACAGGTTCTGTGTGGCTCTCTAAGAACTCAAAAACAGCCTCAGAAAGCACCATGAGAGCATCCGTTCAGTGCCTAGCAACCGTTTGGAAAGCTGAGAAAATGCTTAGTCACATTCATAGAACAGGATACGGAAGGAGGACATGGAATTTAAAATTCGTCTCTCCAGTAAAACACTGAATTTGGTTAACTTCTTTAAAAGAAACCTTTCAGAGGAAAGCAGTAATAATAAAAGCATATACGCAGCTTACGAAGGACTGGGATTTTCTGATGACTCTCTCTCATGAAAGACCCTCTTTACTTATCAACACAGTAAGTCTTCCCAGGACCATGTCCTCCTTTCTTGGGACCAAGCCTCTCCCAGAGCTGCATGGGCACAAATCTTTGTATCTGGTAAGGCAGAGAAGTGCAGTCCCCACTGAAAGCTCCTGTATTTGTCCTAGGAGTGACAGAGACTAGGTAGAGATGGTAAAAGGACAAAGTTTTCTCTGTAAAAGAACTAGATGTTCTCTCTTGTGGGCGTGTTCAAGAAAAAATAGAATTCCCTAAACACATACAACTCTCTAAGTGAGCTTTCTCTGGGAAAGACATCCCCTAGCACCCTTTCATTATGGTTAAGAAGACGGAGAAAGAGTGGGAGCACAGAGGCTTAACATCACTCAAACAACTCAAAAACTGCAGATCTGCTACTCAGCACCACAGGAGGTTCTAATGAGCTCATGGGGAGACTACAAGCAAAATAACATAGGAGAAGCTCTATGACAGATTAGGATTCCCACTGTCAAGCTGCCTCCTTATCCTATTGCTTATGACTGTAGCCACCACTCACAAATTTCAAGTTGATGGATTACATCTCAAATGGGATCAGAAGAAGAATAGAACATTTAGAGATATTAGTCTGGTGCTGCCCTCTGACTGATCCATTAATCTTAGAGCAGGGGCAAGACTCAACAATACTGAAAAAGAACACCCATTTCACAGGAAAATCCCTCCTGTAAACAATCAAATTCCGCAATCCACTAATATATTAGTAAATTAAATTGTTAAGCAAATCATAAAGAAGACTTGACATTTTCAGCAATTGAAATAGCATTCACAGTCATATTTGCCAAATTAGAGTCACGAGGACACTAATTCTCATCCTTAAAAAACAGAAGCCAGCTGGGATTATGAAAGAATTCCCTGATTTTCCTTTGTCACATAGGCTACCACAGTACATATGGCGGGTGCTGATTACTTTCCTATAAAATATCATAAGAAAGAATAATTGAATTTATTATAAGTGGAGAAGACAAATTGATTGGGTCAGTGATCTTCTATTATGGTATGATGACTCTTTTGAATAGTCCAATACTTCAAACAATCGATAAAATAATCATAGATGCCTCTATTTGCTCGTTTTCCTCCCTCACCATAACAGTTCAAAAGGTAAAAGCCATGTCATTTTCACAACTTCTTTGCTGCATCAGCTACAGACAGTCTGGATATATTTTTCTGGCAGAAGCACTGCAAAAATCTATTCCAGGTCAACGACTTCCTTTGTCAGGATCATTCAAAGTGTTGAGAAGGCTCAAAAGAGAAAAATAAATCACTAAGTATTGGTACTTCAGCTTTCAGCTCCCTGAAGAGGTATTGACTGCATTTATTGCAAAGAATTAAGAAGTAGCTTTAATGTTGTTCTGTTCATGAATGTCCTCTCTTTGTACCTGATCTCACGTAATAAACCCTATTACAAAATCTTGCATTCACTTTGACTATATTAAGGGCAAAACGATTGTCTATATGTAATGCTGTGGGTTATATATGTGAAGCAATGTTAGTGAGATGCACATAAATCTCTGTGTGTACAGGACACCCGGCAGAAGAAAGGTGCACAGAAATGCTATAATCACAAAGAGAACTATGCTTATTAAAGCAGTTCTATTAAATCCATTAAACTGACACTATTAATTAGCAGATGTGTTAGCATGTATGTGATTTCTCTCATGAGAGAAAGATTCATGAAGTTGCCTTGCCTTGAATTAGGCTAGGTGTGTGACTGAACATTGCCTATACACTTGAAGTTCAGCCGGGTCCCCCGCTGCAGGAACTGCATAAGGTATTTATATAGCAACAACGTTTTCCACTGCTCCTGCCTCCCTCAGTGACATGGATCATTAATGGCAGCTGCCTGGGGAATGGCACACTCAAACATCAGTAGCATCACTCCCTGCACCGCCAAGAGGCAGGAGCTGACGGCTGGGGGCAAGCAAGGAAGATCCTCTTATGCTGTCCCTAAGGTTCTAGAGCAGTTCAGGTGCAGAGGTGAGCACTGCCTGCCAAAGAGGGTGGAAATGAGGGATTTCTCCATCCCATCCCCAACAAATGTGTAAGTGGGAAAGAGGATCTGTCAGAAGACAACTGTTTCTGCACAAAACAAGCAGCAGGCAGGGCTGTTTTGTCATGTAGCACAAGGAAAACAGCCAGCAAAATAAAAAAGTCATTTTCTCTCACAGCTAAATGCATCAGTATTTTACAAGCAAATGTTTAAACGTACAACAAAGCCAAAATGTCAAGCATCCTGAAATCTCTATCTCCAAAGTACAGCTTTCTGGAAGCACTTCTGATTTGGAGTAGCTAAAACCAATACAGTTCATCAGCGCCAGCAGAGCAATGCTGATGAAACTCAACATTTGCTGGGACAACTCACCAGCTGAGACAACACAAGAGTCCAGGACCTGACCAGAAGCCAGGCAAGAGCCTATGTCACACAATGAAGTGTGTGACTTCTCATGAAGTCTTGCTCCCAGCCTACCACACCCCAGGAAAAAAAAAACATGCATTTCTCAGCTGGCCTGTGTAAAGCAGAAGAGTATTTCTGAGGGTTTTTTCTATAAAATTTTAAGTGAAATAAAACTAAGGGGAGTTGCACTGAATTCTACCCATTCCTTTCATCTAATTACGACACACACATTAGTAAGATGCTGCTAACCACACAGTATGCCAGTGTGTATATAGATTCTTATATATCTGTTTTATTCAGTAATATTTTATATTAAAATTCCTATTTTAATTTTTTAAATTTTATTTTTAATTTAGTATTATTTTATGAGTTTTTTAATCTAGTTGTGACACTAACACACTGAGTCATTTATCCAGTGGAAGCTCAGTATCTTAAGCTGAATGCAGAAACTCCCGTATCTCTCCAGCAATCCCAGTGCACAGGATACGTAGTACACTTGACAATATGAGCTCAACAACAATGAAGAAATACTTCTTACAGTTCAGACAAACCGGTCTAGATTGCAACCAGTCTGACTGTAATTTGCTTCCCAAGAAAAGATTCTGGGAGCATTCTGTGTGAAAATTGTTTTATATTTCTTCCTTCCTCTAAACCCATTATTTTTCCATGGAAACATATGCTATTCTGTAACTTATGCAATAATAATTACACAAGCTAAGCTGATTATAAATATATATAATCGCATATTTATCTCAGTGCTTTCTTTTGGCTAAAACATCAAACACAAAATACACATAGCATTTTAGGCTTGGATTTTATGTTCTAAGATCCCAACTGAAAGAAATCTAATAAAATATATACTATTTTTTATAGTTAACTCAGTAGGAATACTTACAGCATGTGAGAGTCTTTGCAGAAATAGTACTGATGAAACTAAAATTGCAAATGTTACACAAAAATACATTAACCTGTAATTACGCTACAATTTCTGATAACATTTTTCCTAAATAACCTCTTTCAAATCAGACCTTGATCAACCACCCCAAGATTCTCTGCAGAATCCACATTCCAACATTATTCTTTAATGTCATGCGAGAACAGCTATGGAATTAGAGTGGAAATGTGCATGCCAGCATATAGTACCACCACCTGAGGGGGACTGCATATACAACCACCAGTAGCTTAGTTATGGTTCACAAGAAGTCAGCTCATTAATTAAAGAATTCAGCTGTATTTCCTAGAGAGAACTTTGAGAGAGAACCCAAGGGTGACTACAGAATAGCTGTTACTTTGCAATATGCAAACGATATTTATGGATTTATTTTGCAGAGTTAAATCTTTACTGAAATTAATAAGCTATTAAACAGAAAAGCTATGTGACTGCACAGGTTTTTAAATAGCAAACCAGTTCATTTCTAGGGAAATACTGTTCTTATTAATTTACAAACGTTTTACAGACTTTATTTATGTAAGTAAGTTCAGAATTTTGTTTGCACTGTATGTCACTTTTTCTAGCTTATTCTTTATTGTGTAGATTTTTTCTGTGATGACTTTCAGCGAACCACAGCACAGGAACAGAGAGAAACCCAGAGATGGTGCAGGTACTTGGGGAGCTGAGTGAATTAATGCTACTCTCCTCAACTTGGTAGCTGTTAACACTTCTGCATCCAGTACTCTCCTCTCCTGTGTGCCGAGGTGGCATCTGTGAAAACCAGAGTGTTCATGACCTTACCCCTCCAAACCTGGGGCAGTAACACAGCCAGTCTCTCCACTGAGAGAGTAGGGAGGAGATCAGTGGCAGCAGTTTCCATCTGACTAACACCCATGACCTTCACCATTCTAGCTACTACAAACAGTCTGAGGTCCATGCAGATCCTGACCAGTGAAGAGTCATCTTCTGTGTGCAATGTCAGGTTGTTCCATTGGTCATATTTTAAGAATCTAAGTCAAAACAAAAGTCTGTAATACCACAGCTCATTCCAGTCTTGGAATAAAAGGAGGGAAGACACAGAGAGGCCAAAAAAGCTCTGACTCTGCTTGGTTGTACTGATACTCCTGTGAAAAAGGCCAGGTAATCTTAAGTACTCAATCACATCTTTTTTTCCTCTAAAATACTCACCTGACTTTCCCTTTGGTGTTTCTAAGAACAGTTGCAGCAAAATTTTGTGTAACACCAACCAGGCTGATTCCATCCACTTCCACAATTTGGTCATTCACTTGGATCCTTTACAGGGAAAACACAAGTATATAAATAAATGTGTGAATTGTTGGTGAATTTTCAGCAAAACTCAGCACAGAGAGATCATTTTAGTTTATTTTAAACAAAGACTTTAAACAAAAAGTCAGTCATAAAACATTTGAGGTAAATATGAAAAATTCATCCTTCCTTGCACAAGTACATCTCATAAATCCAGCTTCAAAGTTACCATTACAATTAAAAGCATCAATCATCCAATCACTTCCCTTGTATATAAAAACAGCAATACAAACTCTTAAATTTGTCATATGACTTAAATTAAATGAGATAGTTGAATGGTTCTTCTATCATTCTTTCCTAAGCCAGTCTTGAAAACAGAATAAGACATAGCTCTGGTATTTCATGCTAATAGCAAAAAAATGCAGCATTTAACTAAAACAACCTGCTCATCTGTGGAGAAAAGAGTGTCTGCATCAGACTTAATTGTGACATACTCTGTTCAAATATTTCATCTAACTTGCTCCAAAAAGATAAATTCCCAGTATAAATGTTATCTTGCTGCAACCAATAAAAATAAGACCTTCTACAGTTTTAATGAGGATTCCCTCTGAAACCAAACACCTATTGACAGTCAATATGCTGTCTGGTGCTGGAAAAGTTAAGCAGAATAAAAAACATGTTGCTTTTATCTGAAGCAAGCACTGCTGCAAAATCCCTAGAGCAGGCACTGGACTCATTTGGATTACAAATACTTGGAAAGAGGACTGCGATACTAAAATGTCCTCTAGAAATGCACAAACTCCTATCATTTCAAAAATCATTTAAAAAAAAACCAAACCCAAACCAAACACATTCAAAATTAATCAAAGGGAGCAACTTTCAAGTACTTACATGAATGCTACTGATCCAAACTATACAGTTTACAAAGGGTTCAAGAAATAGTTACAGGAAAATCCCATTTAAATTATTCAAATATACCTAAACCAAGTAATTTAATATCATAGGACATCACAGTGATAAGACTTTCTTTCAAAGAACAACTGAGGCTTCAAAAGGGGGCAGAAGCATTCTGACTTAGAGCACCAATTTCTTTGTCAAGTCTGAGGCAGGCAACTCTTCACAGTTCTATATGTGTTCAAGCAGTATCTGCAGTTCTTTGGACTCCATTGATGAGTAAGATATACAAGCTTTATTCTTTGGCAGCCTCATACCACAGAATTTCACTGTATTCTGGGCAGGATCTCCCTTCTATATATGAGAAACCTTGAAAACATTGTCTTTGTGACAGCCCATAAACTCTTATCTCGAAAACCAAATCAGGCATTTTGATCTCAAAATCTTGTTTCAGTTTTCACTGAACCATTTCATAAATACACCAACCATACTAATATCTGCTGTATGTCAATACTGTAAAAAATTATTACACTTTTTCTACTTTAGCAAACATGAGGTGCAGTCAGATGGATGCAGGAGTTCCAAGAAGAGAAGTTTAAGAAGTTGGTGCCCACTGAGTGGGAAGATGTCACCCTCTTGGCTGAAAACTAAATGGTGGCAGAACAACTGATTCCTTTCTTATGGCTATATAAGTATAGCTACAACACTTTATAGTGTTCTAGCGGTGTTCACACAGATTCATAGTTATAGTATTTCAGGTGATGAAACCTCATGTTAGGGAACTGTTGCCTGCAACTTTGTAGGTGGCTCTATCTCGATCTGCTGCAATTCAGTCTGATTCCATCTGTTTTTCAAGCATATTTTGTATCTTCTTCTTTCTTGTTTGTACACCTCCTAAATAAATTTCCAACTATTTTTTATGGCCACTGTTATCCAAACCTCCTATCTTTCTATACATACATATATTTAATTATATATAAACATACAAACATATCAAGAACCACATAATGAACTTAATTTTTATTCATATTATATAATCACATGTAACTTAAAAAACAGGTTTCCTGCATGCTGCCATACATATTCTGCACTGCCCAAACTAAAACACTCCCACAGCCATATTCTCCTGCTTCCTTCCTCTTCCTTGGGAATCCCCTCTCTAGCCCCATTCCAACCACACCTCTATAAGGCTGTAGCCTAGCACAAATCCTCCAGACAAGCCACCCCAGGCACCTTCTAGATCACCATATTCTCACAGCCATGTTCTGTGGAGAACCTGCCCTGCAGAGTCCCCTCCATTAGGAGCTCGAGGCTTCCTCCGACTCTCAAATCTGATTTCAAATATAAACAAAAAACTGGCTGAGGATGGCAAAGCCTGAATTACAGATGTTTAACTGCTTTTGCCATTAATTAAATTGGTCATTCCGACAATTATTTTCTAATGCTCATAACAAATCTTTGCCTATGTGAAGCAGCACTCCAATGAGGTAGCAACTACAGAAGTGAACCAACTGAAGTTACTTGGATAATTACTGCTCTGTATGATGAACTGAAAATTTAACCTAGAGTATTTTTCAAGTTAAGAACTGAAAACTGTTTTGAAGTGATGAACTGTTTTGAACTGTTTCAGAACTGTTGTTCTCAATGTTATCAAAATACTTTAAAATGTGAATGACTCATCACCAGAATAATTTGAAAGAAACAGCTATGAATTCATCCAGTTAAAGATTTTATTTTTCATCTTTAGTCTAATTATTTATTTCATATTTTATACACTATTAATAATCTCTCTTATTATTTATCAACACGCTTGCCTTTGGATTCATCTCAAAGCACCCTCCTCCCTGGTTAAATACTGCCACACAATGCCTTTTGATAGGACAACTAAACACTACCTGTTTGCTTGTAGCAACATGAATCAAGCCAGTGGTGCTTAATCACTGAGAAACCTCTTTGTACAGATTTTGGGAGGCATGTACTTTATATCATGATTTGATGGGTCTTTCAGTAAAAGATGGGTGTTATCCTACAGACAGTGTAATGTTTTAAACTGTAGTTTCAGAAGAGCCTGTTTGAAGATTGCTATGTGGTTACTCAGAATATCTGATGCAACTGCTGAAATAAAACTGTGTTTTCTGTTAGGAGACTTTGCTTTGCTATCAATGTTAATGATTAACTAGGCTTTTCACAAAGATGAGGTTAACAGGACCCTTTACAGTTGATGCACTTTATTAGAGAAGCAGCTGCTCCTGACTGAGAGGATTACATACCCCTTTCCCAAGTGAATGATCAGTCAGGCTCTCAAAGAGAAAACCAGAGGGCTGTTTCTCAGCTGACTGAACATTCAGCCAGTTGAAAACCAACGCAAATATTAGAATGGTCAAAGAAAGCTGTTATTTTATTCTTAGCTGACAAGCTCCTTTCAGATGCCATCTCAGGAAATGAAGGAAGAGACTTGTAATTGAACAGTAGCTTCTGTAGCCCACTCAAACACGTAAATAATGAGAGGAACAGAAAATACATATAATAGACCAGTAGTGAGCGACTCTGATTTTCAGCCAGAGACTTTCACACAGAATGCCAGTTGTGAGCTTACTGCTTTCTGGCTGAGCTCAAGCATACCTTTCAGACAAAAAATTCACTTAAATTTACAGTAATGGATGAAGTCATGACACCTGGAGGTGTCAGCTTCTTCACTTCCCTTCATAATTTTTAAGCCTGTGATAAATCAGTACTTGGCCTTCAACCTGGTATCTTATTGCCCAGATCAGTAAAGATACCTGCAAATGAAATCTAGTAGAGGGTATACTTTAGTAGTCCCAGAGTGATGTTATTAAACTTTGCATCCCCCTGTGCCATGTAGAGCCTTCTGATTTAATTTGTGTGGGGTTTCCACAGCAGAACAAACTTTTGCCTGGTTGAAAAGTTACAGGCGCTCATCAGTAAAGAACATGTTACTGCACTACATATTTTAGAAGACAGCATAAAATGTTTAGAGTTTATTGTTACTCTATTTACCTGCGCTCGTGTTTGGTATTATATATAACTAATATAACAAATCAGTAACAGTTAAAAATAGAAGTAGAGAGGTGTGTAAGCAGACTTAATTGCTAATGTATCAGCTAAGTAATATGTTATTTGCATGCAAATTTAAAAAGGGTATGTACTGGGACAAGCCAATAAATGACATGGGTTGGAAGATGTTTAAGAATACTTTTCATTATTAAATGATTACACAGTAAAGTGTTTTTCTAACTTTTAATTTGAAATACTGGCCTGACTGTGGCAGGTATTATGTAATACACAGATAGCTCTGTCCTGTATGATAGGAAATATTGTGTGTTCAAAAGGAATTCTTTAACCTGCACATACCAAGTAAGCAATTCTAGAAGCAACCAGGATTTATATGATTATCATGTAAGAATACAAACACCAATGTACTTCTTTAAAGGGCAAGATTTATGGTGCAGCTTCTTATTTCAATTGACTAACCCACTTTCAGTGCTGTAGGGGTGAAAACTGAACTCTGGAACAGAAGAATATGCAGAGTGAGAAATATAAAGTAACAGCCTGTATTAGTAAACTTGAAAAGAGGTGTATTTAGTAAGACTTTAAGCATTCAGATACACTAACTATTTTCCACATGTGGAGCAGACGTCTTTTTCAAAAGTACTGATTGTTTAAACACCTTTAAAATCTAAGCTACCTTCAGAAGTGATAGACAATTTTGAATCACCAGCTTTCCTTATGCTAAAGCATGGGGGTTTTCAGTAGTCATGAACACACATCTTTGGCAAATCTGTTCTCCTTAAGGAGACTGTTCAACCGTATGTCTTCTCATAACCACACCAGGTATTTGGGCCTTACCAATGAAGTCTTCAAATTTTACAGCTTTGAGTTATCATGACATACACTGAGCAAACAAGCCTTCCCTTCGAAAAATCATAATTGATACTAATTATTGCTGGGAAGGTTTCCAAACACTGAATCTGGTTTACCTGCCATCTCTTTCTGCTGCCCCACCTTCTGTTACTGTTTTGACAAATATTCCCAGCTTTTCGAGGCCTGCATCTGCTCCAACTCCCATTCCAATAATGCTTATGCCAAGTCCATCTTCATCTGTGAAAAAGAAAAGCAAAAGCAGAAACTTCTTACATTTGATTTGTACAGTTATTTGGTAAGTAAACATATATGCTTTGGCTCCTCTTGGTTTCCCATGTCACTACTATTAACAGTATTTTGCTTCCTTTTAAGAAATCTATTAAATTACACACAAAGAAGTGTCACCTTCACCTTATGAGTAGCTTAGAATGACAATCAAGAATTTTACTCTTCCTGTGGTGAGTGAACACACCGTATCAAGCACCTTGTAAAATCACGTGTTAACAGAATGTCACAAAACAATTCTCTTGGGGAAGTAAAGAACTGCATGTCCTGACCTGCCTCTTTAATTCCTTTTTAAACAATTTCTGAAATACAAAAAGCCAAGGTGACTAAGACAGATTCATGGAAATTCAAATTAGGCTCTGTAGGCATGTGTGGACTTCCTCAGGCTTGCAGATCAGTGTCACAGGAACTGAAAATGTCACACAGGCCACATACCTTTTTCTAGTTCAACTGGGAAGAGCTCCAGTTTTTCCACACGCTTCTCGAGTTCATATTCAGCTGATGCAGCCACTGGGTCAACTTCATCATTTCTCCTGTCATAGTCTTCATTAGAATATGTATTGAAAACCTGTGGAAACAGAACAAAAATCACTCAAACACCTACTCAAAAAAGACTTCCAACTTATGAAAATAACTACTGTTCTAATCCTGTGATGTTGCAGAGTTTGAAAAGGCTTTTCAATGACAAATTGCTCTTGTTCATTCAAACTTCAGGTTTTTAAATTTGTGCTTTTTCATTCACTTAAAGCACAAGTTTTGGTTGTAAAAGTCAAGTGAGTATAAATGATTGGTTTTTATTGTTTGTGATTATAAATGCAGAAGGTGACACTGAATAAGTCGGTCTACACATGTTAACATTTAATTCAACTCATTAAGATGCACTATTATTAAAGATCCACAGACATGAAAAAGCAAAATACACTGAAATTATGATCTGTATACAGCTTCTGCTTCAGTCTTTACTCCTAATGATGTTCTAATTTGCGTTCATCTAACCAAAGCTAGACCTGAAGATTACTGATCCACATTTACACCACTAATGGATATCATTAGAGATTACACTCCATATTGTGTATTAACTTTTTTAGGGGAGCAACATACATAACCATGGGTATTTTTATTTTTTTAACTAACCAGGTTTACAGCTTTATTTCAGCTTTAAAGCAGTAATTTTAATACTGACTGTATGAACCTTATTATATTATTTATGCTATTTTCTATCATACTTTCAGCATGAATATGGCCTTCAATCAGAGATTATTCAAACCTTCAGGAAATTTAAACAGTCAGGAAAAACATATTTTCGTATTTTAAGAGGTCAAAGTTTGCCAGCCTAATTCACTTAACTGTTCACATTTAGCAGTGATGAAAGGATACACAAAATTAGTGGTAGTAATTTTACTGAATTTCAGTTCCATGCATATATCATATTCATTACTTCTAATAAAGGAAAACGAGTCCTCTTCCTGTTTTACAGGCACCATACAGAAGACACAATTATATAGCCATGTTTTTCTGTATTTCTCTTACAACATAAACCACAGCACCATGCTATGTAGCTATATGTATATTCAGAAGAAGCAGGCTTGCTTGGAGTCTTCTTAATGACTGCCCTTGGAGCAAGCATGCCAGCTTGCTGTCCAGTGCAACAACAGCAGCTGTGCTCATATCCACCTGAGGTTTCACCTGCCCAAACAGCTGTTGGTGCACATTAACTTCTTTGAAGTAGTAAATATATTAAAGGTGCAACACTGAAATACTATTAAACACTACCACAAGTACAGTAACTGTGTTATGGCTAGCACAAAACCACTTCAAAAGAATTCCCAGCTTTGTACGAAGTAGTGGTCAAAACAGAAAAAGATGTTTGTCACTCCAAGGAAATTTAAGTCCTGTATTTTACAATGCACAGCATTTGCCTCTTCCAAGACCAAAAAAGAAAAAAAAGTTTTACAGGAACCCACAAACCTATCTCACACTGCTTTGCAGCGATACTGATGCAAGACAAATGCTCTTTTAACTAAGTCATGTTCTTAAGAAGCCTTAACAAAAATATCTAAATGCTGATTAAAATAAGTCCCGTACTAAATACTGCCCAATGCTGCTGAACATTTTAGGCTGCTTTAGTATGTATAAGATTGGAGAAAATACAGTGATGCAGTAATAAGCATTAAACGTAACAATTTACTTGGTTGGAAATTACCTGCAAAATCTATGTCCAAATTATGTCCACGCAATACACAAACAGGAAAGCCATGCAAACAGCCAACACCTTCAAAACGTAAGTGATCACCTTCAGCTCCTTCCTTCTGTTTGTGGATGCAATAACTGCACCTGCATCTAGTATGTTGTAAAGACCTTGAATGATGTATTAATTTCTCCTCCTGTTATTAACACCACCGGGTGTTTGAACTCCCAGTTAAAATGGAAAACAAAACACAGGGTGTCCATATCTGCTTAACAGCCCAACAAAGGAGTTCTGAAAAGTCTTTTGTTACTCCATGTCTTTCACAAACCTCTTACACAAGAAAAGGCTTTTTTTGTGTAGTGTACCCCTGGCCTCCTGTTTCTCAAAACACTTGAAGACAGGAAGAATCATAAACATGGTTTTCTATGTAGGCCACATCAAGCTAGAAAAAAACCCACAGATCTAATGATGCTAACGTGTATGTAGTGAAAAAGAAGTAGGTGCAAGACAGAAGGCCATCCTATTTATCTCTTGGTTGAGATGTACAACTCACAGCAACCATCTCTAACTTGACATGAGAATAGATCAAACCAGTCAGTGCCCACACAACAGTAACAAAAAGCCCTGCAGCATGGGGATGGGTAATCTCCCCTGGCAGCTTCCCTTCTTCTCGTTTGCTGTCACAGGTTTGCTGCACATCCACTGAGGGCTCCATATCCAAACCCAAACTCATTCATCCTGACACCAAGCAAAATAAGGAGCAATCAGGAGAGCCAGACCCAACGAAAACATTACTGCGCAAAGGTTTGACCAACAAACCTTTAAGACTGAAATGCAGCACCCGTGAAAACAAGTACAAGTTATAAACAACAGCTGTGAGTTTAGTTTGGAGTGTATAAAGCATGACAAGGGTGACCTGTGGAATGTGGAACACGGACAGATGTCCTAAAGAAAAATGGAGATACAGTCACTAGCTGTTGAAGGATGGCAAGACAGGCAGATAAATACTGCTTGCTGAAGACAAAGAACAGATGAGGGTAAAGTGTAAGGAAAAAATATGGCACAAAATGAGTTTATTTCTGGATTCTTTTTCATTATGTTAACTGGCCCTGTTCTTTTCCATGTGTTTAATGACTGGCATTAGTGTATTGTGGCAGCAGTTTCAAATTTGTTGCAAAGTAACTGGATAATTTTTTTTCAAGGCATCACACCATACATTGTGCTCTTGTTTGGGATTATCCTTCTTGAACCAGATTAGACAGAAGAAATGGCTTCTTGAATCTTGCTCGCTGCTGCACATGAAAAGGGAACTAAAGATGCTGTTGGTGTTGAACACAGTTACAATTCTGTGTTGAACACAGTTATAATTCTGTCTCCAAATACACTGTGCCTCTCTTATCTAGTATCTTACCTAAGCATTCAGAGATTGTAGGATCACTGATATTATCTAGGTAAAATAGTCTGTGTTTCCTACCTGCCATTAACTCACCATCTTTTGAACACTGGTCATATGATCTCGCCCACTGCCTTCAACATATCTTTTGACTAGAGGAAGGAGGATATTCTTGTATGCCATTTACCTCATTTTGCACAATCACATTTAATGGCTGACTGCTTCTATTAAATGAATCTCTGAGTGTTAAAAGGAAGAAAAGAAAATTTGTGCTTGGCAATTTTCTTTCTTTGTGAAACAGTCTATCCACCATAGTAACAAACTGCCTGCTCAGTACAGTCATGAGAAATGTCACTCAAGATTTTACATTGCTAAAAATAAAACAAACAGTTACAACTTTTTCGTCAAAGTATGGTTAACTTGATTCAAACAGACCTACTTCGTCACGACTGCTGCCCCTGTGTTTCCTAGAGTGTGTGTGTGATTTCAGACTCATGGGAATTCTCCCATTTCCTATTATTTAACAGATTTGGTTATGCTGCCACAACGGCCAAGTACCCACTACAATAAAGTCCACTGAGCCATTACTTAAAGAAAACGGTTTTGTTTTTTTTTCAGGAAAATCTCTGGTTGTACCTCTCCAGATATTTAGGGGGAGAAAAAGTTTCCAGGGAATTCACTTGCGATGTTTATTAGGATTTACAAGAGCACCTGTAATCCAGAAACAGTGGAAATAAAAAGCCACCACCAGTGGTGAGAACACATCAGATACCAATGCTTATACTTCTGTATTCTCCCTCTAGGGAGGGGAGTAGGCACCACAGCCACTACCTCACCATAATGATGCCATGTAACATGAATAAACTACTGCTTTTCCTCAATATTTTTCTTATTTCTGAAAATTCAGGATAAAGGTTTTGTAACTCTGGTGTGATAGAGGCCATTTAGAAAGTGATGCTAGGCATGGAGTGGTTATTACAACCTGTGATCCCAACCCAATCACTGCCATTACTATATGTGCTGCTGGTGGCCACCAACAAGCTGAGCTTGACATCATTAGTTAATCTTCAGGAGTAATCTCTAGGTAATGTAGACTTGTCAACGAGCAGAAAATAGCACCTGCCAGCAAAAGAGACTGGTATTGCCTGTGTGAACAGTAAACATTAATGAAACCCATTCTCAAAACTGCACAACAACCTATCTACCTCTTTTCCTTCCATCACAGTTCTTGGGGAAGAGAAAACAAAGCCATCTATCAGAGCACCTCCTGTCCCGCTATGGAGAACTGTGATTTTCAGGCACACCTGCAGGCATAAAAAAGCAATGCTGTTAGCCTTGGGATGATCCCAAACCGTCTCATTTTTTACAACTATCAAGGCAAGACCAAGGCCAGAATTTGGGTTTCCTGGATCTTGCATGGAAACAAGTTCCAGAAACAGCAGTCACATACTGTAAAGGGACTGAACGTGACTTCCCAGTCAGAAACACCAAATGCTCACTCCTTTAGTGCATGATGCTTGCTTTAGTACATAGGAGAAGTTCCACCAGAGTGATAACTAGTATTATTAAGCCTTCTTGTGTACCATTTGCAGAATGAAAAATTTTGAACACCTTTGTTCCATGCTTTCTTTGCAGACAGCGCAGAAACCAAATGGGTCATCTCTCCATACATCCAGGTGAGAAGCCCCAAGAAGGATAAGGTCTTCTTCTGGCCGTACCTCATTACTGTGCAAACATCCAATGCAGGAAGATGAATAATTACAGAACTACCTTATAGTTTTATCTTTTCGTAAGTCATATCCAGGGTGCACTGTGTATTTGCTGGAAGAGTCACAAAGTACTCTTATGTGGAGGGAACAAAACTTGGCACAGCCAGTGTCCACATTCAAAGAACATGGATCTTAGAGCACAAACTCTAAACTTTCCTATCACCCATTTACTTCTCTCAGTGAAGTTTGTCCTGCACTGAAACTGGGAGAAAACAGAA